ACTGAATAGTCTATCATGGTTCTGAATATTGAGTCAGTTTTTAAAATACAACGGTTTCAACGGAAATGAAGGTAAGTATGATTTACTAAATTATATTGTGGACGGATTATCATTATCATGTGTATACATACAATGTACAATAGACAGTTTTACTTTTTTGTTGCTCAAGTATGGAAAAAAGGTAACATTGCTAGACATTGAATATAAAGAATGTATTTCCTGGACACAAAGGCCAATCGAGGAATTATATCACATACATTGAATTGACGGTATATTTGTCTATAAAATTTGAAAATATTACAGAACCTATGCTGATACATCTATTCTATATAAAGATATAATTTCTATCAAATTAACTTTGTTAAGTTTCATATGTAGACATTACCGAATAGACAACCCGGCCACTCCTTTGAACAAAGCGAATTCATAAAGATGTGTTACCAGGACATAAAGGCCAAACGAGGGATTGTGTCACACATACATTGAATTGACGGTATAATTGTATATAAAATTTGGAAATATTACTGAGCCGATGATGATAGATCTTATATAGGATATCTTTATACTTAAATAACCTTGTTTCGTTTCCTATGTAGACACTCCCGAATAGACGGTCAGGCCACTCCTCTGAGCAAAGCCTCAAAACCCGAATAACCAGTTAGATATTCAGTTGTAATTTTATTGTATGATACCACTACAAACAATTTTAAAACTTTCCCCCGAAATAATGTTCTATATTTCATTTGGTTTTCTTTCAATGACTTGTGAATAATTCTATTTATCGTCATGCCTGACATGTAATGACATGTTGTTAAAACCGCAAATACGGGTGTTTACACTAAGTCAAGTCAGAAGTTTTCTTTCATTTTCAATTGTTGATACAATACCAGCAAACACAACAAGGATGCTTACTGTATACTTACATCAAGTCACAGTATTGCCATTGTCCTTGCCGTCACACTGTTTAGGAGATTTAACACGCCTGTATACTGATCAAACAAGGTATATGTATATTATATATATGTTTGCATTTATTTATAGCTTCAGTGCTCATTGAGTCATCATCTGATAACAGTTTCCAAGAAATAGAAAAAACATGTCAAACGTTATCACATTTCGTAATCGTTAAGATACATGGAAAGCAATGATTGAAATAATGAGTAAATGAAATAAATTGATGTAATTCTTATTAGATAATTGGTGTAAGTATGTAAGGACTAAACGGGAAGTAAAACATCCAATTTCGGGAATTCCTATTTAACTTCCAAAACTGTAACTTGTCAAAATGTACTTATGTGTTACCAATCGCACTAACGTTATATATAATAAAACAAATAATATACAGCCGCAATCCCTCACGAAACTGATTGAAATATAACCCGGAAAGACTGTTGTTGTAAACCGTATATGACGAATTCTTGCTTAATTTAGATAATGATTAATCTTTTTTTTTTTACTTTGATACTAAAATTAGGCTAAACATATCAAACACGGAAAACATTAGGTCACTATATTATTGACTAACGAAGATGGACACTATAGGATTAAATAATCTTTTTGGACACATATACTTTTTTGACTGCCACATATATGATGTCTACATAAGAATTATTAGTTATGATGGAAAATGTACATTTTAAATGTAATGATGTCATTAAACAAAATTTCACAGAAATATATGCCAGTGTGCTTCACACAATTTGAATTAAAATGAAATACTGTTCTGAAACATAATTTTACAACTTAAACATTGATTGTTACATAATAGATATCTGATGATATTATCCTTTTCATATCTGAAATATACACTACCTGAAAAAATGACAAAAACACTATGTAGGGAAATGTCCTTAATGATTTATTAATGCTCTAACATATACAAAAAGATAATACAACTGTACAATTAAATGAAACAAATAATGCTTATTAATTTAAGTAATTCTACCTTTTTATGTTTATGACTGTAGCGACTATACAGCAATTGATCCGCGTACATCATACCTAATTTAGTAGATCTGACCACACGGGGACATGTGCAGAATAGACTCGACGAAATATAAATCCCAGATCGCGTTGTCTGCATGTATGTTAATCGCCAGTTTGTATGGTTTCCTATTGAATACACCACCGACTGATCGGCTACTTTTTTACCTATCGTTGCAAGATACATACTAAATTATTTATTGGTTAACTTCGAAAAGTAAACACAAAAGTTACCAATGAATAAAGCTATGGTATCGAATGATGTCGGAGATTTACTTTTATGTAATGATAGAAAAATTATAGAATGTTTAAATTGATTAGAATCAAAAGAGAAAGAACATCCTCGATACAAAGAATAGGCTATGAATACTTAAGGATAAGGCATAATCTTTGTGATAAAACTGTTTATATAAAGCATAGACACATATGATAACGAATAGTTAAAAAAAAGAACAGAAATCATACAAATGAAAATACATAAAAACGAATAATGCGATAATTCACAGATATGCTACTCAACGTCTATGAAGGTAAAACGTCTACAAAATATTGATGTACCAGTAACGTTTGGTAGTAAGACTGCCGGATGTCTCTGAGTCATTTTATTACAAGTTTCACTGTAAATACGGGCAGTCATATCACCCTGTAAAAGTGTGTCTTTTTGCGTCTGCTTAACGTTCTGCTTTAATGAATAGCCTAAAATCCTTGACATAATCATTTTTCAGATATTTCGTTTTATTGTTTTTTTTTCCGATGGAATCTCAGAAATTATCAATCAGATAAAAAATCACTTCATGCTGCATTAGACGTACATTATAAAATTGATATATATGTACGTATTACAGCTTCATCAATCTTCATGAAAATCACTTAAATTATAATAACGCATTTGTAAGCTGTCGATTACAATTCATAGCTCAAATTGTCTATCAATCCAAAAACATCTTGATGCCCAATACAAGATTTGTTCTCAAAGTTCGTGTTGTAAATCAATCCGTCAGATGTCCACGTCATTCTCGTAAATCGTTATACTGGAAACAGCCGTTTAATTATAAAATCAACTGCGATATGAAAGCCTGAAAAATTGGGGAGCAGGATTTTACTGTAAAGAAATGGAAAATTCCACAACAGGAAAATCGAAATTTCCTTTTCATACAACTTTGTTCAAAACTGTCCCTGTTGGTTGCGTTGTATGTTAATGGCAAGTGACCGCCGATGGTAGTTTCTAATTTCAATCTTCTGGAACACCTGGTCTTATTATCATTACTTTTTATGTGTCTCTGATGAAATATGTTTTTTCGTCTATATTTTGCCCTTGTTTTATTGCGCCTAACATTTCATTATGATTCTGTTAACATCTTTTTGCTGTTTCGGTTGGTATATACGATGGACACGTTGAATACATTTTCTCTTAATTCTATTTGAATTTTATCTGATAGGCTGTTTGTTGAATCCCGTCGTGTATCACCAGGCAAAACAGTATGCGGAAGCATCTTCTACTATATATTTTCAAGCCTTGGATGGTCCCCTGTAATGAATGAAAATGCTATTTAATTACAAAAAAAATCCCAATATAAATAAAAGGTTATTTACATTATATAACAGACACGTGCATTGTTATTGCAGATATGATTGTTTTCATTATTTCGGAGATGTATTTCATTTCATTTTATGTACATTGTAACCTCTACCGGCTATATCTTTAATGTTCATTAAACGGTTTTGACTCATTAGCCCCTCCCTCTTTAAATGTGGTTTGATGATATCTTTAATATCTATTATATAGAAACTGAATACCAGGTATCGTTAATGTTGACATTTCTGCCTCACACATGTATGTTTCTGACACACAAATTGCAGAACATGTTTTTGATGTTAATTTTAATGTTATTTATGTAATTCAATATACATATAGTTAATTCCATATTAGCTGAGAACTCACGTATATTGATAATGTCATCTGTCCAAGGATCGGTATGCCCAGACAAAGGTATACCATCTGAAAAATTCAAACTCTGCTTGAGACATATATGATATTAAAACTATCAGTTCAATCTTAATCTTCCGTAAAATTTATTAAGTTGTTTTTTTGATTATCACATACATATAATTAAAATGATACCATATCGCTTGTACACAAAATACACATGTATATGTAAAAATCAAGAAAAAATAACCACTGTTAGTCCTAATGTTCAAAGGAAAAACGATATTATCACTGTCCTAGAAAATGCTTTAAAATGCTCTTAGCCTAGCCAGCATACAGCAAAATACATGTGCTACTAACAGGTTAAGATATTAATTTATCTCATTACATAATAACTCCAAGCCCACTACATCCACACTTTTTAATTACAAACATACGTTACAACAACACCTGACCTAAAAACTATTCCTTGTACGCATTGTTCTTGTTGTATTTCTCCTTATAACTGTTCCACCTGAGAACATATTAACTGGCTACTTGAGAATTCTCCAAAATAATTCGTTATTAGAGATTTTTATGAAGAGCTTGTACTATCGAGAAACCCTTTCGATTGATTTGAAGTCAAATTCTCAGCAAAGGTAGAGATTGCCAGAGATTAGGTTAGACGAGAACATACTGCGCTGGATTAACTTTCAGAAAAAGTTTAAACCTGTTGAGGCTATCATCCTTACCAAAAACGTAACTTAAACTAAAAAAAGAATATAAAAACAAGTGTTATCCTAGATCCTAATGTTACAGACAGGTATAATATTGTTGACACGTAAATAGTTCCTTTTATTTTTTATATGAATGATAACATTTATACGACGTATTCGCACGTAAGCGAGATTCGTTTAACTAGGTAAACTGTAAATAATCTAATATTGAATGTTATTTAAGTTGATTTGGAAATTCCTTTTGGATTTCATATCGAGTATAAAACAACAGGTGATTGCTAACTAGACTAAATACATAGTAGATTCACATACACTACATATAGTAACCTAAAAATAATATTGAGCCATATATTTCTACAAAATTATTCTCTACTACAACATATATACAATGAACAACATCTAGGATACCGAAAGTGTGCAAATGGCGGTTTCAGAGGCATACACTTTGTTGTTGTCTACAGCTGAACTCATACGTTAATAAGGTGTTCTGAATAGTCACTTTATCTTTGGTTTGTACTTCATGGATATTTTACTTTCTTTATAGTACATTCATGACCAATTTAGTACCAACATATACATATATGTTCATTAAGCTTGCCTATCTCAGCTTGTAGACCATTGCGTGTTGCACTGACACAGATATCGAGACCCACATTGGGTAATTAAAAAGTGTCATGTTTCATTATCACTGATTAAGTACAACATGACGTAAAATCGACATGGCTTACTGATGTGTTTTAGAGTAAAGTTTCCACAATATCATCTTTTTTATATTTCTGATTAAATTCATATCATCCCATATTACTGTCTTGACTTGACTCGCCAATGAAGTATCTTCCAAAGTCCGGTTGATGACCTTCACCAAAATTGATGAAATCATTCAATAAGGATATTTATAACGTAAACATAAAATACGTAATCAGTTATAGCATGTAGTAAACATAATTATAATCCAAACCTAACTATTTTATTCTACTGCCCAATATAAGGTGGATGAGAAAACCCACTGGACCTCCTTGTATAACACCATGATTGGTCATTATAACTACTTATAGTCATACTTTACCTCCTTGTATAACACCATGATTAGTCATTATAACTACTTATAGTCATACTGGACCTCCTTGTATAACACCATGATTGGTCATTATAACTACTTATAGTCATACTGGACTTTCTTGTATAACACCATGATTGTGGATGAGAAAACCCACTTTAATAAGTAACGCAATAAGCTCTAGAAAAACCTCTAGAAAAAATATTGAGATCGAGCTTAAGGAACAAGTAATTCAAATACCTCTAACATCTTCTGTGTATAAAGCCCTGTCATGAATGAGTTCTGTTAGAGCTGTTCTGTCATAGACCTGTGTCACCTCAGGTTGCTCTTCTCCACTTTGGTCAAAGCTAGGATCAAGTCCATTTATTTTCGTTGATCCATCAGATACGTTCTTTTTTCGTGCATCAGTACTTGGATTTTTCACTAATATGAAAGACAACACCATTTCAACGATTGATACTTGAAATTAAAACATCATTTAATAGGGAAATACTCAGGTATTATTAGGCTTATGTCAAAGGTGTGATCAACACTTGGCCCCCAAATTGATTTTCTATTATTTTTTCGCCATATTTAGATACGTAATAATAACCTACAACCGCATAAATGATTAGTCATTATAACTACTTATAGTCATACTGGACCTTCTTGTATAACAACAGGTGGAGTAATTATAACTACTTATAGTCATGCTGGACCTCCTTGTATAACACCAGATGGAGTCATTATAACTATTTATAGTCATACTTTACCTACTTGTATAACACCAGGTGGAGTCATTATAACTATCTATAGTTAAGTTATACTGGACCTTCTTGTATAACACCATGATTAGTCATTATACCTACTTATAGTCATACTGGACCTCCTTGTATAACAGGTGGAGTGACAAAGGTACCCCAACAGAATGACAAATACTTGCTACATGAGAATTTTAAATGAAAATATTTATTTACCAGCCTAAAATGTCCGTTATTCTGATACCACATATGTTATATTGGCATAAAAAAGTAAGCATATTGATAAATTTTCACAAAATACAGAATATATCAAAGTTTGTCAAGTTCATTTTGTATAGTTGCTTTCTCAGTCTATATTTCATACTTCTTTAAAAGCTTTCTACGTATATATGCTGTCTATTGAATACATTTTAAGTGATTTCAAAACTGGTAAAAATATTTTTAGCAATTTAAACATGCTTATTGAATAATTTGCCATAATCATGAAAATTTAATTTTCGTTAATGTTTGTGCCAAATACTGATATTTTTTCCAGTTTTGCGTAGTACCAAAGCAGATTAAGTATTTGTTTTAAAATTATATTCAGTTGGTATTACTTAACATGGTGTTTTCTGCACTAGAAACCTATCCTCTAAAAAACAACTGACAGTTTAGGTTGTATTATAAAAACTTAACAATGATTAAATAAGTAGTATTACTGATAACATGTTATCGTCATTCCACGTTTTCTTATCTTATCATTAAACATAACAATAATGGATATGAATTAGTTAGATATTCTAATTAATTATTAATAAATGTGGCCAGAAATGATAACCTTGTCTGACACCTGAATGTGCAAGTATGTTAATTTCCTGAAACATATACAGGTATTACTATAAAGTATTTATACCACTTTTGCTGAGTATCTATAGACAACTACATAGACAAAGTTACACTTATGGCAGACATTCTGTATTAAATTCAAATTACTGCAAATCTCCCATCAAGTTTACTACTCATGTCAGACGTGTGCATAGGTCGTGGTTGCAAAACCAAGTTGAAAGATTTATCTCAAGTAGCCCGAGCTAAAGTAAGACATGTATATTTACCCCAGTATAACTGGCTGCACAAGCTGATGACTGCTGAGATCATTAGCATAACAGAAGAAAACATATTATGTGGAAAGTGCTCCAAGCAAGGGCTATTGCAGTCCGAATTGTATAAACCTTCTGATATTAGCACTCCTGATGACCTGGCGAATGATGCAGATGATGCTTACACTGATTTCATGTCATCCAACCAACTACCACTAATCTCTGTTGAGGAATTATTTTAGGTTGCAATTCACATAAAAGATTTGTCATATGTGGAAAAGAGGGCACTGGGTTATGCACTATACCCCAGCGTGCCAGGACAAACTTGATCTTTTTCCATTTTCTATGGTATTCAGCTGATGCTTGTGTTTGTAATGACCATGTAATTGGTGACTTTCTGAATGCTTCTTTGCCAACAGATCTGCAAACAAGGGAACCTCATTTTCAAGAAAGACCTAATCAGGTTATCAATGACCTTCTTGAACTTAGCTATTTCCTTTTCTGCTCCAACCAACACAAGCATAGATGTAGACCATCTCGGAGATAAAGAATTCAAAGCATTGGCTGGTTACACGCTTGGACAGATGCAGCAAATCCATAGCATTTGCTCCTTACACATCAATAGAGGATCATGTACCTCTACATTCCATGCTCTGTTTCTTTTCTGGGTTAAACTGAAGACCAATATTTCATTATCTCAACCTGGTGTCTTGTGTGGTCTGACAAAAAAAAAAAAAAAAAAAACAGTATGTGTCTTAAAAGCCTTGAGTCAGACCATTGTGCCACGTTTCCTTGGTCCAAGACACATTACCCGTGAGGACGCTAAGTGCCACAACACTGCTTTTACAAGATGTTTCAACGGGGACAAAGTGACTGTAATTCTTGATGGTACCTATATTTATGTCCAAAAAAGGTGTTCTTCACCCCTTCAAAGATACTCATACTGTGGGCAAAAGAAGCGCAATTATGTTAAATCAATGAGCATCGTCTTTTCAGATGGTTATGTACTAGACACTATTGGGCCTTTTTATGGCAATGAAAATGATGCAACTATCTTGACAAAAATTCTTGGAACAGTTGAGAACCTGACTATGTGGCTCAGTGAAGATGCCAATGTGATTGTTGACCGGGGGTTTAGGGATGTGTTGAAGCTGCTGCAAGGTTCAGGGTTTTCTGTGTACATGCCTTCCTATCTTCTGTCAGGTCAGACACAGCATGATTAACTTACGAAGACCGCCAGTGTACTAAGTCAAGATGGGTTGTGGAGAGCTACCATGGTCGACTGAAACAGTGGAAACTGTTCAGAGAACAACTCAGCTCAAACTTCTTTCTTAGTGTCATAGAGGAACTAGTTAAAGTAGCTACTGCTTCCTTGAATAATGTACGTGAACCAATTTATGTGTCCACGCCAAAGAGGGACTTGAGGGACCGTCGCCTTGCTGAGCGAATACAATCCCGTTTGGCTCTGCCCAACACCTTGGCCACAAGGGTTGCACATGAACCTGACATTTCTAGGCGAAACAAGGCCAACTGGGAGAAATCTGATGCCTGTTCAATAGAGTTTCCAGTACTGGATATGGAATATTTAGAAACAGTAACCTGCGGATCATACCAGATATTTTGCTGAGCATCTGACTCCTGCTGGAGACTTTGGGTCTATCAGCATAATGAAAATCTTTCCGAGGCCAAATCCACTCAAGGCACAAATCACAGTCAAAATACAATGTTTGGATTGCGTTTGACAGAAATGATCAAGATTACCCTGTCAAAGTTACAGCGGGCAAGCGAACCGTTGGAATGTGTACACATGTTGCGTGCATTTTGTATTTCTTGGGTCATGTTTAGCATCAAGATCAAACTAATCCAGTCCATGTAACACTCAAACAAGCAATCACCTGAGCAGTTCTGCTATACTAAAACACAATGTAATGTGCTGCAAACTGCAACTGTTCTATCTCTTATTAGCTTCTCAAAGTGCCACAAATTATGGATCGGAACTGACAAAGGCAAAATCCGTCACTATTACTGTGCATAATCTATGTTATAAGGTCACTTTATTGACCATCGTCGAAAGATTTGTATAAAACTAAAACTAAACCTTCAAATTGTGAAACTTGCACAAAAATGACTTTATTTTAACAAATTTCATTTGCGAGACCTTGAACAGAGGTCAAGTTCAGCAATGTTAACCAGACTGATAAAAATTGACCTGAACAACCACCTTGTCAAATAGCAAGACCTACAGATTTTTGGTTATTAAGCTGTCACTATCTAACGAAAATTAAAAAAAAAATTAAAAAAAAAACAGTGTTTCATGGGTTTATTTAAGCAAATGTGTAAAAGACAAATTTACCGGTTTTCCTTTTTTCCAAGAATCCTCCTTTTGAAAGATATCGTCTGTGGCCAACTTTTAAGCAAGTATAAAAATAGATTGGTTTCAGAATATGAAAATTTAAGTGTCCGAAAAAGTAATTTTATATGAATTTTGGCTGCATTTTTCAACATTCAAGAAACGTTTCTCCTGAACTAGCGTGATATGTGGTATCAAAATGTTAGTTTGTATAATGTGCACACATTAATGACATAATTTTATTGGAATTGCCTCATAATAATGCACTAGAAGGAATTATATAACAACTACTCAAACATCCACCAAGGTTTCATTTGGAGATGAAGCATTATCTTGACATTCTATATATGTATCAATTTCTTAAGTTCCCTATTATGTTGGACTTCTTTGTCTGAATAATTTGGACAAAACCGAAGTTTTGGCGAACTTGTTACTCTTACCGTCCTTGTACAGATCTGTAGATGGTTGGGCTGCCCGTTGTCTTTGGAATTTTTCATTCTGTATTAATTTTGTATTAATTAATATAACTAAGCATTGTCATTATAGCAAACAATATTCTTGGAAGTGTCATGCGTGAGGTCAATGTGTTACTGTACATCCCATTCAATAAACATCAAGCAAATACAAACATGGCAACATATCTAAAATTAAAATTCAAATTGCATAAAACTATGACAAAATATGAACAAAATGGAAATTCCTGAAAAAGTACACGGAGAATAAGACTATGAGTAAGCGTATTCTGTTTCATCGACCACAACTGCCGTGTAAATAAGAACAAGATATACAACAACGGAATCAACAGGCAAACTAACGAGCATCAAAAACGTCCCTCTTCATGTCGCACAAAGAAATAGAATTTTTCTCAATGAGATAACTATGGCGACCATAAAACATCCCCATGATTTTCACCAACCTGCATTTTTGAACCCTACGAGTTTGTCAGTCAGTTGACAACTTCTTGCACGGAATTCGTGATAATGGGAGCAGGCCATTGAATATCGAATGTGACACATAAATACCATAGGTTTGAGATGCCGGATTACTGCTTTCCAGAAATGGAAAATAGGAAAAAAATATTACATATTAAATATATAAAATATATTACTATAATAAGAGTTGGTCGATATTATTTCCCTTTGTAATTTTGGGTCCCAATATCACTGAAGTGTCCTGGGGTAATAAATCAGCGATATCATCTTGCTCATTATAGAAAGGATATAAGAAATATATCATCTTTATAAACAGTGTATATCACAGAAACAGAAAATATTTCTTACCACACATGTTAACACAGTTCATATGATGCTAAAGATATGAAAAACATATGACCCGCTTAATGAAAATTAAATGCATACCATCAAACCAAGTGACTGGTTGTTGTTCTCTGCTGACCCCTGATATACTTGCCTTTGGGAACAGTACCACCCTCTGCTCCTTGAGTCTTCATTTGCAAGGAATCTGCGGGAGTGTGTTCCTCTTTCTGTATATCGCCAGGAGAAGACCATGTTTTCAATGTGTTCTTGTTTGCAGTAGATCGTAAACGTGCATTGTCCGTCTTACAACATTGATGTAAGGTGGATGGCTGAAGAGAACGACTAGAATTACGACTGTTCCAGTTTTCTCCTCTCTGGGAAAACCTGCAACGTGGTTTCTCACGTTGATGAATATCAGATGGAGATTTTTCCAGGATAACCGTGGTGTTAACTTCAAGTCCGCAGGCAGTGCAATGTACAGTGCATGATTTAGGATCCTTACAAGAAAAGCCGGCATCCACTAAAGTGTTAACATCATAGCCATCTCTAGGCCATTGTTTGAAGGAATTAAACCTCCTTTGTCTGTCAGGGATCATATCCATTTCTGAAACAAGGCGTATGTTGTTGTGACCTGTTTGGAAAAGGTTGTCGGTAAATTTAGCTTTGTATTAAAACGAAACAGTTTTGCCAACTGAAAGTCACATGTTGCACTAGGTTTGTCAATAACTTCCTGGAGTATCGAATTATTTCGCTTCCGGTATGTATATATACACACAGATAACATTAATTTAAATTGAAGTGCACATATTTAGTTGTGAAACAATCTAATGGGCTAATTTATCTAGACACAACAAAATCGGGGCTAATCAAATCAACTTGTATGTAGGGTTCTGCAATTCTGATGGGTTATAAGTCCATCAGCAGTGACTTTTACCTGCTCTCATCTAAGTGTATGTCTGTATCAGTATACTGAGAAAAAACATAAAATTTAAATTTACCTTTGTATTAAAACGAAAACAAACTGGCCAACTGAAAGTCACGTTTCCCTAGTTTTGTCAATAGCTTCCTAGAAAATCTAACTACGTCTTAGCACATGTAGTTATCATTACAGCACACATCAAAGTATAGTCCTTCTACGTTGTTCATACAGCCATATTGTACTATAAATAAATCGTAATTCACATCCGGATTGTGTTCTAGGTAAACATATAACATTAATTTAAAAATGTGTGGTAGTGCATACATTTTAACATCTCCGTGAGAGTGTCTACATCTATGGCAAACAAGCAATATCACTCATTTCAACATTGACTGACAATGGGTGTGTAGTATTCATGCAATTGTATTTGTGCGTTTTTTGGTAACTGTTTACATGTAGATAGCTAATATAAGAGTTGTACCTGTTGTAAATTTTTGAGGCAAGCGCTGTTCCTATTTATAGTCAACACCTTTTTTGTTCCTTGTCTTTAGGTACACGTCAAGTGGTGTCATATCTCTGTTGTATCTATTGTGTGTGCTAATTGTGCCTTAAGTTGGTAGTAACTGGATGTATAGTACTTCTTGACAGGTAATGTAATAGTTCCAACACATTGACATATATTTTTGACTTCGAGTGAAGAAGACTGCTAACTGGTTCTGACTTAAGCTCTTTCGGGAATGTTAACAATTGTGATAGACCGACATGAAGCTTACAATAGGAGCACGGTCAGTACCATTTGTGTATTTGTCAAATCACAGGCAACGGCATTTAAATAATCAGGTTGTGCTATATATCACCGTTATGATTGTGTTGTTGTCATAGGCAACAGATCATCTCCCTCGAAACATAATGGGATGCTTGCTCAGGATCATTCAAGACCTTGACACACTTACAAACCTTTAGTTTTCAATGAATTCTAACGATACATGTCATTGAAAAATAAGCATACATTCATTGTCTGACTGATCTAACATAAATATTGACTTTCAGGGACTTTACAGAAAGAAAATCATAATACGTCCGTTTCCAAAATTCCAAAATGAATTTCTAACTACCGAGTGTCTGCTACAGAGTATTCAATTTAGTGAATAGCAAGTGGTGTTCTAACACCGCCTGCATATCTATAAAATCATATAGGTTATATGTTTTGAATTTGAAAGCTTCGAAAAAGCATTTGGGAAACAAATGATGCATTCAAATTATAACTGTAGTGCGTGTCAGGTCAACCCTTTAATTATTTGAAATGTATCAAAAGTGTACCTACCTGCTTTTTTTTCGATAATCTACGAAGAGTTGTCAGTAAACATCAAATATCATCTTAAGAACATAACATATACTTAATTTTTTTCAGTAATGACATATACATGCGATTTTATGCACTGAGATATAGAGCTTTGATTGATTGACTATTTTAATAAGGGTATTCCCAAATTCGTAATCCTATTGTTTTGTCTGTACATATTTTTCTCGCACTTGTTGCTTCCTAGAAGAAGAAAACAATGAACAATTTCTTCTCTGCGTTCTTTTAAACAGACATTTAGATATCAGAGGTAATTTGTAATTTATATTATTCTTTCTGTCTCGTCTGCTCAATCCTGTGGTTTTTCTTCTATTCGTGTCTGGCTTGCCACCCGTCTCGATGTGATCTTTGTAGTTATGGGATATAAACCAAAGACAAACACATATAAAACGAATAACTTAATTGATTTGACCATGTTGTTCATTATTTTAATATTCAATGAAAAGCATTAATTTCTTTTCTGTTTACAGAGGCATGTTTTTATGGAAAGGGCATACTTTTCGCGTCTCTCAAAACTTACTGAACGAGTCTTGGTATCATATAATAATCTTCGTGACGCAAAAGAGTTTTGCTTCATCAATTAATTTTGTTTGGTCTCTTTGACGTAATAGTCCCAAATGCCAATATTCTGAAATGAACTTATAAATTCAATATCTTACAACTAATATTTCATATGTCATAAGACAGGATCAAAAGTGATGGTTTGTTGTAAATTGCTGTGATCATTTGTCAAACGAGCATTAACAGAAAAATACTGAAGTTCCGTCTGAAATACTATCTAATGAAGCTGACCATAAGTTTCAGATGAAACATTTTATGTGTTACCTGTTTTAGATCAGATCCCCGATTACTTTATTTTTGAGCTGGGAAATACAAACATACACCCAAGGCTTTATATTTTTATTAAGCTTGTAAACTCACGTCACATCAAAGATATTTTTCAAAACCTAATACATTTCACACCGTACACTACCTCGTAAACTCAGGTTGGTAACAATGGAAAAACACATCCATATTCTTCGTTAACTCATGTCTCTGTGTCAAACAAACACAACCAAAAACAAAACAAAATACATGTCACACCGTAACAAATTCCTCCTAAAACTCTTGTAAAAACGATATACAGACTGGTGCACAATAACCGTCTCAGTGCTTCAAAAATGAACAAATAATTAAGTGCACAAAATAGCTGTCTATCTAAAATTGCTGTCGCTGAATCATTTTCTTCGGGTTGATAATATGTATCGAGTAGATATCCTCAATACTCTTGTCGCTTTCTCGTCACATTACTTTCCATCATCGTGTACACAAGGAATAGTATAGTTGATCTCATTACTGTCTCGAGAAGTGTTTGCTGCTGTAAAAGTAGGTTCACATTGATTATGCATCCAATATAGGCAACAGTGTGGACATTGAAACACCACACAATTTCTTTCAACTTGTTATGATTAAGATCATGTAATCAAATGTCAGCTATTTTATTCTACCCATCAAGCCTAATGGTTAAAAAGGGACTACCTGTTTTAATTTATATCCGATGGAACGTCCTCTAAGATATACTCTCGTCATTTCGTGGATTTAAAAAATTTGAATACCTCAGGATAGTTTTACCATTGATAATTGACTTTAAAAGGTTCCACTGGGTATTCGTACATTTTGATACAGATATTTGACTTCAAAACAAATACAAACATGGAATATACCGTAGTCCTAGATAAGATAAGTCCTGATGCAATTATGATTAGCATTTTTAGTGTCATACATGGATGTAGCATATGACCCTTGGTGTTCATGGTATACGTGTACCATGTGCACATTTGTAAATGTAAATTAGTAAATTCGAAGAACGTTGCCGCCATGGTACTTGATAGAATCAATATATACATATATATTAACTCGATGTATCGATGTCTTCGATGGGACTTTTTGGCAATATTCTACTGTTTTAAAGACACAAATTTGTCAGTAATATATTTCATTGACCATTTGGACTAATTGTCAATTACTTTACAAGAACTTAAAAAGAAGACGCAATATATTAATGTGTTCAAAATATTTTAGTATTTATAAACAAATGAAATTTGATGCTGAACGTATCAAACTGGGGTTATAACAGCTTCCAACACGGAAACGCACAGCTAAAATCTCTGCCTTTACTAATTTCTAAACGTCGCTCTTAGCTCTGGTTTCTAGACAGGAAATGGCGTCTGTATTGTGTTCATTATTTGAGGCTGTTTCAAAGATAGATATGTTTTTATACGAAAACATATTTATACGTTAAACGTTAAAACGACTACGGATATCAAAGCTATTGTATGGAATATATCCCTCTGCGATATAGGTATATTTAAAGTAGGGTAGTCTTGGCAAATATACATATTTATAGTTTAAAGTAAAAAGGATTAATCTATATTGCTATCATTCTGTTTTATCATTGAAAACTAAGATAGATATCAAGTGTTTTGACACTAGAGGGCACTAAGTTTAAATACAATGATGATTTTAGATGGGTTTTTTCATCCATTGCGAATGTTAATTTCACACATTTTACAGTAAACGATATATATGATTGTGGTATCGACGAGGTTTCCCTGTTATAATAAGAACATATGAACGAAGTGTAGTCATTACGTACTCGCTATAACCTTTTCGCATTGTTGATCGTTGTCGATGTATCCACAGGAAACATACACAATGCTTCGCTCCATTTGACACTTAAACATCTTCTTGAAGATTTCTGTTTCTTTTCTGATGACTGCAAGTGCTATCAAAATAAATAAAAGGTTTCGGCTGATTTCATAATGTTAGACCTTTATTTATTGATTTTCAACAAACGAGTCGTGCAAATGCATTCCATTCAAGTTGATTGTCGATCATCTCCTGTTTACCTTGTCTTTGAAAATATGTTATTTGTAATAAGAAATGACAATAATCATGTATACTTACTCATTTCAATTCCATCATCGTCGTCATGTATTTCTATTGTGAAACCAGCTTTAGGTAACCCGCCTGTAGATACAAACGTGTATGCAAACAATTATAAAGTTAGCCAAATCACACCCGGTCACTCAAAGCAAAATAAATCCATGCTGGAAAACACGTGTCTCTAACAAACTATATATTCTATTATAAACATGTTGTAAATCAGTGAGCAATTGTTTGATGACAAAACCTACTATACTAATATGCTAACTGCATTTGTAACGATATTAATCATTTACGTTTTGAAAGATGACAAAATGTTGTGTAGGATATATATAACTGTTAGTATGAAGTTATCCAAATTTGATTCAGGAGTACATTTGTGTCATCAAGATCATTTTCTCCATTTATTGTTCTTTAACTCAAACTCAAATCGATGCCCGTTAAAACCTGCAATGACAATTCGAATTATGTTCTCTCCATAGCATACTGCAAAATGTTATTAATATGTGTACAAAGAAATTATAAAGCAGGAAAGAGGAAAAGGCTAGAAGAGTAATTAGAGGTTAGAAAACATCATCCACGGTGTCGTTTTTGGTAAATGAATAAGCTTAGAAAAAGATGAATGAAGGATATAAGGACAGTGAAATCAAATTCAATTAATTATCTGAGTAGTCGGCAGACCGATTGATTCTTATGTAGGTGTGGTGCTTTATTATCTTGAGTTGGTGAGCATTGCACATTTTGTAGGGTAATATCAGGTTTTACTGGAAAGGTATGATAAACAAAGTTCATAAACTTATATCAGACATTAACATGGAGATGGTTGTGGTAAAGAGTTTACCTTATATTTGAGTTTTTCCATTCATTAGGAGTCATGTTTCAAATGAGATTAACGTAAGACGTTATTTGTACGTTTATCCACTTTAGTGTATATTGTTAATGGAAATATTTTGATTTAAAACCAATGCTTAACATTTAAATTATTGACTTTAAACGTTAAGTACAACATGATTTTCAATAACAGGCTACCAATAAAAACATTGACTGACCCGACTAATATACCTGGTAGCCACGTGTACAAAAAGAAGTTATTTCATCCCATTTTATCATCATCATTATTATTATCACAAGCAAACTATAGGAATTATTTCGATGTAGAAAAAAAAACATAATTGCCTCCGTTTAGTTTTTTCAACATAGCAATATTGTTTTGGTAATTTGTCGAGTGGAAATGTGTTCACATTCATCATTATATCTCTCCTTCCATGCATATTTCAAGAAAATCAGACCCGAAGACTTTTTCCTGAACTGATACAACAGCTGTACCTGTATATTTGCTTAAAAGAAATGGTGTAAATATCCATATTGTGGTATTGATTTTGGTAAAACCACTCATCGTAAGCAATAATAGTATTCAACATAAGTGAAATATTAACCTAATGTCTATTAGAGGGAGATAACACCATGCAGCTTGGATTGGAATTTAAATTGCATACATCTAAAACAATGTCCACGCACGGTTAGATTACCAATTTCAGTTCAAATGAATTCAAATAAGTTTTTGTAAAGTGAATATATGTTATTTACGTTAATATTCTGATTATTACAGTATTTTAGTAAGATTAATCTAATTATTTTTTAATTTAGCACATTTAATTTCACGAATTCTGTTTTGTTATCAAACATTGCCCATATTTAAGGCCGCCTCTGTGCAAAATAAATTTTATTATAAGGGCCACTTCTTTTGGGTTCTTATATAATAATGTTCATAACTATTAAACGTCAGTATCTTTTAAATGCCATATCTAGACACGGTTTACTGAAGACTGGCTGTGTAAGCATGAGAAATGTATACAACATTAACATATTCTGCAGTGTTTCCATTATCATGACATTAGAATATGGTTAATTATGATTGACGAAGTCTGAAATAAAAGTAAGTAGCACGAACGAAATCTAAAATACACTGTTTCTATTTCTTTATTAGGGTCTGTGATTGGTCAATTCAACAGGATGAGAAGTATCTGTAGAATTCGTCTTAACTGTTTAACTGTGCCAATGAAAAGAGTAAGTGTTATCATTTTCATTGGATTTCCATATCACATTTCTCAATATTTTATTGAAGAAAATGTTATAAAATTAACTATATCTCTTCAGATGAACATGATTCTAATGACTTACTGGCGATAGGTCCTCTCTGATTATCTCGTTCAACGCCATCACTCGTGGAAGATTGTTGACCTTTCTCTTCCATTTCCATCACTATCGTCAACAGCTCCACAGCCGTAAAGTCTTTTCGTTATATAGACAAATTTCAAACATCCATTATCGTAATTTATTCACTTTATGTACTTTTGTTTTCAAATGTTTTGTAATGCATTACACTTTAGAACTGTTGCCAGACATTTAAGCATTTTACTGTCTCTGAAAGGATGAGTTCGATTGATCGTCTAGAAATATGCCTTGAGAAAGTTTTGCGATTGAAATAAAAAAAACTGTTGTTCATTCTGGCCTACGGAGCCCGTTTATTGACATGCTATATACTTATTCATTTAGTTTTTTGAAATATTAACTCATTTTTTCGAAATATTATTTCGTTTTTTCGAAACCTTGAACGTATCATGAGTTTCTGGGTTGTTTTGGTCCTTATTTTAGGCTGTGATTATGTTTATAGTACTTAAATTTAAATTGGAAAACATGAATTATGAAACGAAATAATTTAGTAGAGAACAGCATAGGTGTCCACTGTCCAGGTCTTGTGATATACACACGACTACAAGCTTTATCTAGATATTAAGTAAATTGTGTGTCAGAGATCTACATGTAGAGAGTATGCAAGTATTTTTTTAAAATGAGTCCAGAACATAAATTCGAAAAAGACATATAGTGGGTCCTCAAAATTTGAGTGAGTCAATAGAGTCACACGGAAAAAATATGAGTCCAGGACTCAAATATCCGATTCCCAAAAATCAGTGGTACATGTATCCTATACTGTACAGTACATTTTTGGAACCTCAAGGGCACATGTAACAAATATAATCGAGGGTGTCATATTTTTTGCTATATATCATTAGAAAATTGGTCATTGGAACCTGTGGAGAATATATGTAATCTATTTTCTCTCATTTAGGGGAGTGTGTCCACACTTCAACTACGCCCACAATTTCAGTTTTAATATCAAGTCTAATCTTTTTTTATTTATGAAAAAAAAAAAAACATTCAGTTGAAAATTTTATTGCAGAGTTCTAATTACATATATGCAACTTGATGGCAATGCAAACAACATGTACACATATAATATATCTATATAATAGGTCTTTGGTTTGGCTTAAACTGCGTGCATCTCCACTCTCTTCAGTACTAACAACTAAAAACCTTCTTGCAATGTTTATTGTCTTTGAAAAGTAACTAGTTGATGTTCTGTTCCTTCTGTATCTAAAATACTCATTGATATGCGAACTTCTTCTTTCCTTGCTTTAATGTCTTTATTTTTCATTTTTTGATCCATGCATCATACCAGATCCTCTTTGTTCAGACTGTATGAAATCTATGACAGTCATAATATCCATTCCATGTTTATGCCTTAACAATGACTCATTGTGCATTATGTTTTATGCCTAGAAAAATAATCTTTCACTGGTACCAATCGACAATCCGCCATAGCAAAACTGAGAGTTACAGAAACTATAAACATATTATTTCGAAATAAACGAACTAATATTTCGAAAAAACGAAATAAAATAAGTATAGAGCATGTCAGCAAACGGGCCCCGTACTGGCCTTATCTCTTAGATATACATTGTATATTTCGTTCATATGAAACTCAAACTCTTGAAAACGATTTAAAACATATATAACAGTTTCATTGTTTGTTATGGTTATTTACATAAAGTTAAGTATGAGTTATATATTAGCTTGTATTTTGCCTCTTTAGTAGCTTAAATAATCATTCTCTTAGAACGTCGTAAGTGTAAAAATGATTACTTTCATTATTTTATTCCTTTCTGTGATATGTTTCAATTACCTTGTTTACTTGTTCGACTACGAAGCGTATCAATTGCCAGCTTTGTCGTTTGCATAGTATACCCCATTGACAGCACAGACAATGCCGCTGGCGAATAGATCGGATTTTGGCGTTCCATGATTCTATATACATCATCCACAGGTTCGCATGGCACAGGACCTTGAGAAGAACGAACAATTTTAGAGAACCATGCAATGTCGAAATAAGATGTTCACATGGACACACACAATTATTTACTGATTTCGTGACATAAAATGGTCTTGAATTCAACACTATGATAATATACAAAAAAGGAAATCAAACATGACTTATTGATCCGATTTCTTCCCCTTTTTTAAGATTTTGTTCTTAGATGAGGACAACATCATTATAATGAAACCTTTGGACAATTTAATATACCTTACCGTTATTTCACCAATATCTCGGCCTTACTGTAGCGGGAATTCATCACATCGAGCTGATTTAATGTATGCACCAACTATATGTTTTATTTCATTGATTCTTTTTCATTGTTTATGTAAATAATCAAGATTTTATCTCTGTTTACAAAATCCCATTCAACATTTCAAGAACATTATCTTTACTATAGCAAAGCCAAGAACCGACATTACAACCTTTTTGTAGCTTTTCCTACATTGTAAGACATCAAATTTCAGCGTTTTTTGGTACATATAAACGTATGGCAAAGATGTATAAAAATCATCTAAAAAAGGTTTTGTTTTCCCATGATCTTCGTTCTACTCTGGTTGCCTTGTGACAAACTTACACGTGCAACTAATTACCTCCATAAGGTTTGCAAATCAACACATGATCAAATGGATAGGTCACTACGCTACGGCACGGACCTAAGTTAGAATTATTATATCGGTACGTTGTCAGTTCCGGGTCCCTTATCAGCATTCTTGTCCTACTGCTCAACATTTACTTTCCTTTCATGTTTTCTGGATATAGGGTTTCTCCCCTCTATAACCATTTGAATTTTTTTCTTTATCTTAATTGTGATTTCATGTTGTGATCAAATATCTATAACTTGAACCTAATCACTGAATAAGATATTTAAAAAATTATATTCACATGATAATGATCCGCATATTTTTTTTTTCAATAGCGCAATGTTCTGATAATAAAAATGTTAACATATGTCGCTATATTTCTCCTGTCATCTTCTTTTTTATCTATGAATATGATATATTTATCACATATTTTATGCAAATGTGGTTTATTAACAAAGATAAGCCAGTCGCGCCATTTTGTAACTGTGCACTGTATCAACTCGTATACAGAGTGTCATTATTACATTATCACCTACATGGAGGCATGTGAGTGAACACAGCTATTACACGGGGTTAGTTAATTGCTATCGGTCAGTCATATCAGTATTCCTAAACACAAGTCGGTTGTATTTACTGTCAATAGTGTGTTTTATCCGCTACTATCCCATAACTCGAACTAAACTGGTGACGATATGGTACAATAATAGCACGTTCATAAAACACCTGTTTTCAATCATGGATAAATGGTATCCCCTTTTGAGTTTTTGGGACGTTACAGTTACAGCAATGAGCTCTGCAGCAAATTGGAGCATCTTATCATACAATGTTATCTGTAAGTCCAACGCCGCACACTTCTTCAGTTACACGACCTCAGCCAGCAGCTTCTCAAGCTAAATGTATTTGTACCGCCATTCAATTGGGTCTAGTTAATGTCTAGTCAAATGTAACTACTGTTATAGCCCTTCAGACCATTTTATTGTTGATACAGGTCTAAGGTCAAAATGAGATTGACCTACATTTAATACAGGACACATCGCTTCACCAAGGAAAATCATATCAAAAGCACAGGTAGTGTGGAGGAGATATTATCAGGATAAACCTTTACTTTGACTTTAGTCTCAAAACATAGGTCAGACTGACATGCTTTTGATATATGACATTCTACCTAACCAAGGTAAGTAGGTAACCTAATACCCAATGTATGAAGTTTTACTGATTCATTGAGATATATCCCGAACAAACCGCTTCTTTGGTCAAAGGTCAAAGCTCAAGTCAGAGTGACCTCCTTTTGAAATCATACACATAGCCGCACCAAAGCAAATCCCATAGCTCCAAGTTTTTACATTCCAGTTGGAAGTAGATGTAGGATATAGAGCATGGAAAATAGCAGACGGACAAACAGGCGGACGGACGGAAGGATGGACAAATGACTAGAACGCATAGCGCAATATTATTTCAGCCCCGAAGATGCACATTGTGGGACAAATGATATTTTGTTTCACGAAGAGAAAATATTGGGTCTCAAAGTTCAGGTAATTAAACAATTTGAATTAGAAATATGTAGTTTATAAATGATTGCGTACATTTCAATTCGGTTTTAACCTTAAATATTGATCCTAGTATATTTTGAACGTTTTCAACATATGGGTATATATATTATATATTGATCTACTCACTAATGTTTGCCATTGTCACCGCTGATGCGCCAGTTGATTGTATACCGCACGAGATCTAAAGAAAAATATAAACACAACTACCGAATATATGGCAAACATAAAACGTCAAATAATTTTGGGGAAAAATAAGAAAAACGTAATCAAAACTTACAGAATTTCATATTTGATGATAGTGTATAGTGATAACAATATAGATATATAAATAATAAAAGCTGTCACCACCATCGTCATATTTTAGCATCACTGATGAGTCCTAAAAGAACGATCCAGCTGTATGAAGCAGTTTATTTCATTGTTTGGCTCTACAAAGTCTAACTTTAAATTATCAAAATGTGCTATCGACATTTGTATAATCGTTCATATATAGCTATTACCTTTTTGGTAAAGCGATTATTTTTTCCATCTATACAGGACAGAAATAAAATATTTCGCTTACATTTTCAATGGTAGAATTCTTAATGAAGATAGATCCTTTCATCTTTAGCAAGTACCGGCAATGTGGGAACCATCTTGCGTGTTCGGCCCAAGGTTCCTCATCAGGTTCCCACTGACTTAATTCGCCATCACAATAAAAGCAACGGACAGTATCAAACGACCCTAATGAAATAAATCATGCTCTCATACATTATCAAACCAACCTAACAAATGTTTAATTAGGAGTTTAATGCAGGTGGCGAAGGGTACACGGAATATGTTGCAGTAATTAATTTGTGGTATTGTTTGTATGTGCAGGTAAAGTGCTTATCATTTAAGGATGCTCTCTTCTGTTGAAATTGATTCTAATGTAATATCTTTAACGTTTGAGATTTTTTCATACTTTGTTATATATCGAGCTGTAACTATAAAATGAAAAGAGAGCTGTAACTATAAAATGAAAAGCTGTGCTCTATATTGCGTTTGGAAGAAATTTGACATGCGCACTACATTTTTTGACGTCAATATTTTCAATGTTTTCCCGTTGCTATGGTAGTCTCTTCAGTATAACTCTGGAAGCCATGGACAGATGTCGACTAAATTTTGCATTATCACTACAAATACCACATTTCAAATTTGTGAATTCTGATTTGGTTTATCACTTTTAAACATTTTCAGTACCAAAAACTTGTTTATCGGGTGAATATTGAACAAATACAGCAGAGATCCTCTCTTTTTGATAATGACAATTAACCTTGAAAATTTCAATAGCAAGCAATAAATTATTTTAAAAACGTATATTCTAGCAGATTATCAAATAAAAGATTTATTTTTAGAAATTAGAAATTTTCAATTGCTACTCAGTTTTATTCTCGTTAAATCAAATGAAAATTAAGCATTTTCACATTGTTTTCCCTTATTATCCAACAACATACTATAACTGTACTATATACTTTATACTATATTATATACTGAAATACTTAAAAGTTGGGTGGAAATAACAACGAATGTCTATAATCAGGTGAAAAACCCATTTACTTAGAATAAAACCGACGCCCAACTTGATCACAAATGAATCAAATGATCTATGTTGTACCAGAAAGAAATGTGTTTCAAACCAACCCGTGGAAAAAAATCCCGCAGCTGAAAGATGCTCTGGTGACTGTAGCACTTCGTCCTTTGTCCACTTGGCATTTTCAAAAGTTCTTCTTCTCGAATCATTTGTAGAATATTCTTGATGTTTCGGTTTGTATATCTTGCAAAATAAAATAGATATTGTTTTGGCTTGTAAAAAGTGTAAGAAGAACAACAACTATAACCCATGTAAACCCAATAGGATGGGCAAGAGGAATTTTTCAATCCAGACTTGTAAAATCCTTAAAGATGATAGATCTCAAGACATATATTCATCATATATCTCTGTTGGTTATGCTGTACATTAAGAAACTGAGTTGGCGTCGTGAAATATTCTGTCGTGTTTAAGTTTAAAGTCTGTGAGTGAATTTCTAGTTCAAATTCAAATACATGTTATCGTTGATATATCTGAACCGAAAAGAACTTTATGTAATTACGTTTATTATTATGTGCCAACAAGGTTTACGATAAACCATGCCTCGAACATAAAGTTACCCTAACTAGGACTTATTTTAATTGCTCATAACTTCTAGGTACTTGGCAATAGGCGATTAATTATTTTTAGATTACTACAACCATACTAATACAAGACAATCTGCACTGAATATTGAATTTGAACGGGTCCCTTGTAATATCATTACCATATGCCACAATACTTACCATGGACGACAGTGACCACTTACCTGGTCCCACTGAATTTGAACACTGTTAATGTATTCTTGACCTTTTTGTTCCCTGAGATAGGGACACTCTGGACTATGACGTGCATGCTCTAACCATAGGTTATCATCTGGATTCCACTCCGCAAGACCAATGTCACAATGAAAACATTTCAAAATATCAGCATGTCCTGGAACCACGACAAAATAAAAAGTCGAATTGATTTCAACATAAATGTAAATATGAGAATTCGTGTCCGTTTTCAGTGTAAAACATGTACATGTATAAACATACACATATCATATATGTTGTGTTACAATAATACAATATCAATGGAGATGGGGTATCTAGCTATTATACATATATCATATACATATGTTTCATTGTGTATCAAACAAAGAATGTGTTACCTGTGTAAAAGAAGCCAGCTTTCGCCATGTTAGCAATATTATGTGGAGCTAGTCGCAAGCTCTCATAGGTTCCTATTCGAATGTTCTCCTCTGTGTACTGTAGGTTTATAATTGTGCATACTTCAACCTCTGAAATAAGGTTTTGTTTTTGTGTACATCGAATAGTTAACAAATGCTCAGACTTATTATCGTACTTTTGTTGATTTCCGGAACATGACTGATCATCGATATCAAAAGAACCAATATCTTGGCCTCCTTTCCCGTAAGAATTTTCTTGTCGAACAAAACTGCAGTTTGGCGATTCTCTCATGTGGTAATCAAGCGGAGTCGTATCGTTTAGATCACAGACGTTTACAACTAACTCACAGATGTTACATTCCACTGTATTTGAGTCAGTTCCCATACAGGAAAATCCACCATCAACCAACCGACCTGTCCGAACGTTGTCAATCTGCCAGTGACCATAACTTGATATTCGAAAAATGTACCCTCTTTCTTTTATTTTCGTTGCATTTCTTTCCAATGGCTGAACTATTGAAGATGTCATATCAGTAATTTCCGAAGACAACACATCTGACGGTTCTTTTGTACGACCCTCGAGCGCTGCAGTCTCAAACATATCTAGAGAGATAAAATGACAATGACTAGCTACTAGAGGTATGTCAAACGGTTAACATAAATATGCGACACGTATACATGTACACGAACCTAAGTCATGAATGCATAGGTGTTCACATGAAAGTCAATTGAAAATTGTTGTTTTCATTTCAGCAAGATTACCAAAATACATTACTGATATATCGTACGTACCTGATTTTTTAATTTTTTGATCAGTTGTATTTGATGGAGCGTGCTCGTCTTGTGACTGTTTCACCTGGTCATTTGTTTCATCGAGAGCAGAATTCCTTGTTATACCTTTATTGCTCGTCCTGTCTTCTATTGTAGCAACGCCTTGAATGATGTGGTCAATGTCCCTCGCAACATTGGAATCTATTTTTCTTAAGATTTGCATTAGACAGGAAATTGCTTGAAAAAAAGTATAACTAATTTTTCCCTTCCTTAATATATGAATTATGTCCGTGATGTTATTAGCTTTTATCAACAGCTTGCGTGGGATATGTATAATCCCTTCCATTAGGTTAAGGAATTGTTTCCAAATGATGTCCCTCTCTGGAGTTAAAAATTCGTCAAACTTCTTGATAATTGTAAAGCGAATATCTCTAAGATTCTGTCCATTTTCTTAAAAAAAGATAAAAAAGATACTTTTAAGAATGATAAAAAACTCTATCCCTTAAGAAGGATCTTTCATTGGTTGTTTTTATCATGTCATTCTGACAAGTACTGTGCACGATACAATACCGCTTTTAATTACAAATTTAGAATAGGACAAATTATATCTGAAAGATCAATTAAAAGGTACCATACAGGTGTTTTGTCATTATCATTACCTTACCAATTAACATGTCTTCTGACGATGAATATTAATAATTCCACTTTGATTACATAATGTTCTACATTTACAAATAACATAGACATACTTATTTTGATTTTAATTTTTTTGTTTTTTTTTTTTTTTTTGTTTTTTTTTTTTTTTTTTTTTTTTTTTTTTTTTTTTTTTTTTTTTTTTTTGTTGTTGTTGTTGTTGTTTTTCTTTTTTTTAAATTATCATTATTAATTACGGATCATTAAAATTCGATGAAATGGTATGATTCCGCTTACCGTTCGCCATCATTTTGTCAAATTTCCGATCGGCTATATGCTTCCGACCGATATCTTTCTTTTTGCTCCATTGCTAAAATCAAAAGATTTAAAATTCTATGAAGTATTTTTCTCTGTAGTATTTGCTTATATTGAGCAGCATATAACATCTAAACATGCCTGTTTCCCTTGATACTTTGAATCCGTCATACACCAATCTTTTCTATATGTTATTTAAGAAATGAATAACAAAGGAAAAAACATAATCTCAGAATCTTTACTTACATTTTTCTCTTTGTCGTTTCCTGTGGGTAGGAAAATCAAAATAATCATTAGGTCGTATGTCACAATTCTATATTTAATTCTAGTTTTTTTATAATAATTTTACACACAAATGAAACATTCAATGACATTCCTTCTATTTTCATCATTATTATGAAATCAGTTCTATATTCAGTTTTGTAACGAGAATGCTTTTATTCTGCCTGATATCTAAGTTTACATTAGAATACTCAGAACACAATTGTGAATACGTTAAAATGAATGGTTAATGTTATTTTCGATTTCATATCTTTATATTTACTTATTGGATTATTGAAAGTTGAAGGTAGTTATTATCACATCCATTTATTTATCGATATTTATCCCCTACCAAATTGTCGAATGATTTAATCGTCTTGTATAATAACTAGTGTCTGTGAAAAGCGTCTTACTTGGCAAAACAGAGTTTTGTTCACAACACCTGTAATTGGACATGCGGCGTTTTCTTCTTTTAGCTTTAAGTTTTTTCCTTTGTTTATTTCTTGGTTTTTTCTTTCGTTTGGATTTTGATCCTGTTATGAAATAAATTGTAGCATCTTAATACCAATACCGATCACATAATTCAAGGTACAAACGTCTTTATCAATGTGTCAAATATATATATAAAAAAAATCAATGTTAAGATGTTTAACGAATGCAACAACGCAAATGTACATCTCCTGGAATCAATAATTGGCATTGTATGAGGTTTTGGGTAAATTAATTAGATTCAATCAACCATGTGAGTAATAACTGTTAAGTTGTTTCAATTTTTAAACAGAGTTGATACTTTTCTTAAGCATCAACTTTCCTTACGGCAATATTTTATTATGAATTATGAATTGATAAATGGTATCCCTTATTCAGATAAACAGAACAGCAGTCTGGAACACAACACTGACAATATTCAAACCTTATTATTAATCTACATTTTGAAACTGTATTTATCATACCAACAAATAAAGGTTCTTTCACCCTTGTCTTATGCAATGCTTGTCAATTACAACCAATGTATATAACATACATATATCTTTCTTTAATTTGTCGGCATATTACCATCTCTTCGTATTACCTTCAGTAGATTTGGCATTGACATGATCCCTTTGTCCCATGACTATGAATCTCCTGCTATATGATGACCGAGTTGCTATTTACCTGCGACAAAAAATATTCAGCTTCCTGTATCTAATAGTCATCAACTATCCAGATCTTTAAAGAACATTTTCTAGTGCATATATTTACTTAAAAGCCTACAACTATCCTACATCTGGAGATAAATCCATTTCATTGTGTTACTACTGTTGTGAATGTGTTGCTACTGTAAATGTCGTTTCTTTAACCATTTGCTCACAAGGTTTGCTCTCAAAAAATCAAATATACATATGTCATATTTTGCTACAATGGTATCCCAACTGATATAAAAAGGCTATGATAAATGTGTAATTCAGGTCACTTGAAATATGATATCCTTGATATAGCTGCTATTATCATTGTATTTTTGTTTATTGACGATCTCCGTTTAAGAGGACATGGCAGTGATGTAGTCAGTAAACAATCTTGATGACATATGTCACATTTAAGTATGTTTGATTACTATAAATGAACTCAATTCATGTACAGTTTAGATAAAAGAAAGGAGAAAAAAGCATGTCAGATCCCGTTGTGGACCAATTGTATTCGCAATCATAGTACTTACAGATGTAAGAATAGCTTATATGTGTTGTCATTGTTGATATTAGTGAAATAAAAATCAGATATCCTGTTATGATGGGTAATTGAAAATTATGTCTAAACTCTAACAGCAGACACTTCTAGATTCAAGTCACCATCATATGTTTACTATACTAGGTTAATGTTCACGTGATCGAAATGAAGTCTACACGTACGTATTACATCTAACCGGTGCTTGTATGACAGGAAATTAAGCAAACAAATAAGCCACGTTTCATGTTGTCTAGGTCAATAGTAACACGCATGACAAGAGTTGCCTCTCCTTGGCTGGATTTGCTTTGCAGTAAAATTACCCGACTGGGAAATCCCTACTAAATTTAGGCATTTGGAAATAACCTTTGCTGTATATAGAATCTTGGTAGTATTTGTAGCTATAGTTACTGAGTTCATAAAACAACGAGGCTTGGGAGCCTATGCTATTCTGAATAATTATTACATTCGCCAATGTTTCGTCCTAACGAAATAATTTTCTTCTTTCAACATTCACAATTCCATTTTTGTCGAGTCCGTATTGAATTGGTAAAGGATAGATGTAACATACGCCATGTTGACATATGATTCGGTCGAAATTTTTTACCATTTTAAAATACCTTCTGTATTGTCTGTTTTACTGCTATATATATTTCCAAAATATATAATAATTTTTTAACTGTTAGATGTGTCAGAAGAGATCACAGGGAAAAACTTAACTTGCCTGAATCAGAATTGAAACTAGAATTCCACTGAACTTTGCATGGTTACATATCGACGAGTGACGTCAGCGGCGATATTCACGCGGAGGTAAGCAAAGAACTTACGCACATAAACGTGAAACACCCAATATTCAATACCGTAAAGAATTAAATATTTATAGACATTTATTAACTTGTATATCTTATTACAGAGACTTATGTATTCACACTGACAACGCCTGTTTTGACCCTATGATATACAGAACCTGTCCATGTATGTATTTAATTATGACCTAATATATTAAATACTTAAAATACGGACGGTCAATTAGATGGAAGTACTATTTTACATAATATTTCAGTAGAGTAATATCTAAATGTAGTTTTAACTATTTTAAGTAAGCAACACTTACCTGCACTGTGGCAGTAATGCACACAGGCAATATCAGTGAGTGTATACAGTATTAAGCCTGTACACAGGACGGCAGCCTGGCGCACAGTAATTCGAATTTGGGAAACTTCACGTACATGGACAGGGCCATGCAGGGTCAAAGTGCAGGTCACTCTCATCCAATCACTTTCACCCTCGTCTCATACACAATACATTACTATACACAGGCACACAATACATGTACACGGTATATATTACATTAATTAAATTACTGACCAAACTATATATATAACTACATGTATATAAAAGTTTGACCTTCTCCCCTGCTAAGGAGAATAACTACTGCCATTTATTAAACTTGATAGAATAAAATACAAAGCTAACCATATGGAAATATATGGTTTTACCACCACGGCCAGTATCCCAAGGTAGTATTAACATAAACAATATCTACAATTAAAATAATCTCCCCACTGCCAGGTGAAACAATGCATTCCTGTTATGAATATCAACACTTTTTAAAAATAATTGAATGTAAATTACAATTAAACTACATCACTACATGATTTGATGGTAAACCCTAAGGTTGATATCCATCAGTAGCTGCAGAGATTGACTCACATTTTCACAATCAGGAGTAAACATTGTTTGCCATGACATGTGCATCTTAGTTGTGTAACGTTGACGTAACGGTCATAATTACAAATGTACATTTCTACGTCACCGAGTTATAAGACCATTCATGCATATCATTAATGATGTCACTACATTCAGTAAGGCCCCGCCCACTGGAGGTCTACAGATACCCGTTTACTGTATAAACACTGCATAACAGATAACTTCAATTTCAGATATATATCTTTATTTATGTTATAATTATGAAGTACCATATACAAAAAATGAAGCCCAGCCAATTCCCTTTCAGAGCATGTATTCGTTATTTCAATGCTGCAAATAGAACAAAAGTTTTTGGCTCACTCGTATTTTTTTCACTTTATAACATTACTTATCCCAAGCCCTCAAGTGGGCGTGGCCTAATTTATTGTTTGGAACACCGTCCTTTGGATGAGATGCTAAACTGAGGTCTTGTAGTGGTCTCTCCCTCTGTGCACCATAAAGACCCCAGATCTACCCCAAAGTGGTAGAGCTCTGGTCTAAATTCCTGCCCTCAGTTTTTCCTTTCTGTCTTTTCTGTAATGTTTACTGTCCTTTTCTACTCCCATTCACGAATATACCACAGCCTCCCAAGAACACAGACAAGCACCACAGACATGCATCTCGCACAACACCGGGAGGCTGTCCTTAAATGACCTAACTGTTGATAGGATGTTAAACTCGAAAAACCAAACCAAACTTTTGAGTTCCTCAATTGAATAATGATTTTCAATTTCCATTATCCTTAACAAAATGAAAAAAATGACTCCTTAGTTAAGAACCAGGCACCTGTGAGATGCAGCACAACATTTGAAGGCTACAGAAGAATGGCAGAAAGAAGTGGAGGGCTGGCTTGATCTTTTTCCCTTATGTCAAAAGGAATTATGTGTCAAGCTGGATGATATTATGACTTGCTTTCATGCAGGGTGTCACTTTTGAATTTGCAAGGTGTCTTCAATTGTATTCCAAAATGTTCGAGGAGTGGACAGAGCAGGCATGATGGTAACCCTTAGATATAGAAGATGACTGTGTGTCCAAAATATTTTTTGTCTCGTGTTTTTGTGTAACCATGAAAGTGAAAAAAAGAGACATCATCATTTACTGATGAGCTAATTAAGGTATTTCATAACTGTGTTAAGCATAAGAGTTTCTTTCAGCAATTTAAGTGGACGTCTCAAGATAACTCCTCAGGGTTTGGAAATTAAACATTCTGAACAGCACATAATTTACTTTGAGTACATATGATTAATCTGCTTAAAATGCTTTGAATCATGACAGTGATAGTATTACACAATGCCGAAATTTTCTGTAATATACTAGCATTTATATAACAGCATTTTCAGCAATGGTAGATACTTCAAATTTCTAAGTACGTATGAGCCAATATAAAGTTTAACCCTACTTTTAACATTTGAAGAAACAAATGTCCATTAAATATTGTGAATGGATAACAGTTTAAAGTTTGAGAGACATAGACTACATAACACAGTAAATAGATTAAATAGAAAACAAGGAACAAATGTATTTTCTCCTTTTTTTTTATTACAATAAATCTTTCACAAGAGTTTCACCAAAAATTTGATTTGCTTCACACTCGTTCATATTGTGAGGGACATCACAAAGTAGTAAATTAACAATTCATATCTTAAAGTATATCACATACATATTCATCAGATATCAAAAATGTGCAATAAATCTTCAATAAAAGAAAATTTTTTTTACGTTTTTGCATTTCAAAGTTCAATTTTAAATAATGTATAATATTGTTCATTACACACTCTTTATTTTCAATTATATTTTCAAATTTCATCTTATTTCTAGCTTTCCAAATACACAATTCTGTAGAAAGAATTATTAAATTTGCAACAACGCATGACCTATGATTTAGACTATGGTACCCAAACATAACATCCAATTCAGATATTCTGTAAACTTCTATTTGTTGAGAAACAACATTTATAGCTTTCTCTATGAAAGGAGCAATTATTCCCCATATTTCTTCTGAAAATTTACATTTGTAGAATAAATGAGATTGAGTTTCAAGATAATTATCACATAAATTACATTTTCCATCTGTGAAACCCATTTTCAACAGCTTATAATTTGTAGATACTATGTTATGTAAACATTTCCACTGGAATTCTTTACACTTCCTGTCTGCGATAGATTTTTTTGTTAATTCCCAAATGTTTTTCCAGTTTAAGTGTTCATTTTCATATGTAGATTCCCATTTCTGTTGTGCTTTAGGTTGATACTTTTCATCTAATAAGATATCAAGCATTTTGTTTGATAATTTATTTGGTTCTATGTCTTTATTTTGGTATTGGAGCGTAAAGTTTTCCGTTAATATTAGGTTTTTATTATCAACAGAATCGTCTGTCTTTAGTTTTTCTAACCAATCTTTGGGTATTGATTTTTGTACTTTGGAGAACTCTGATATCCAATTTTCCTTTTGTATCAATTATCGTATCAATATGTCAGATGAAATAAATTTATTGTGTGGTTCGTCCCATATGTCTTCAATCCTAGTTATTCCTGATTTAGTCCAGTTTTTTAAGAACAAAGGATTTTTTTTAACAATATTTTATCATTGCCGAAAACCATTTGTTTTTTAACACTATCTTTCGCTAGAGTTCTTGGTATTTTTTTCAAAAAGTGCTGCCACTCCAAAATCTGAGATCTATAGAACTCTGGTATTTTACTTAAATCAAGAGATTTTGTACTACTACATTTACATAAAAATAAAACTCTATACCAAACTTGTCATCGTATTTTTTAATCCAATATTTGCCTAAGGCATTCCAAGTTTGTACCTCAGAATTTATAAGCTTATAATTATTTTTTATACTTTTTTGTCTACAGATCATATCAACATCTATCATATTTATCCCACCCTTGGAGTGATCTCTATAGCAAGTTTCTTTTGATACTTTGTTGACCTTGCCTTTCCATAGAAAGGAGTAAATGAGTTTATTGATTATTTGTTTGTATTTTACAGGTATTAATGTTTGAGCTATCTCATATGTTATTGTAGATAGTAAGAGTGATTTTATGATTAACACTTTCCCTTGTACAGTAAGATTTCGTTTTTCCCATCTGCCTATAAGTGTTTTAATTTTCTGTAGCTTTGCTTCCCAGATTATTTCTTTGTTAATATTACTCCAATGTGTTATCCCTAATGCTTTAATATTTTCAACCCACTTAATTTGATCGTGACGTGGGGGTCTTTGTTTCCAAACTCCAATGTACATTCCTTTTGTTTTAACATAATTAATTTTTGCACCAGACGCTTTTTCATACCTTACAAGTATTTTGAAGGTTTCTATTATACTCTTTCTTGAGCTAACATGTAATTGAGAGTCATCTGCAAACATACTTATTTTTGCTTCAATATTTTCATTATTTAAACATGGAACAGATATACCTGAAATATTTGTATTTTTCGTATAGAACAAGCTAAGGGTTCTGCTTGTATTATGTAGATCAGAGGTACGAGAGGGCAACCTTGTTTTACAGAACGACTAAGCTTAAAGAATTTGGAAAGAAAGCCATTTGTTAATATTTGACTACATGAATTAATATATGTCATCTCAATCCACTGGATAAGTTTATGACCGAAACCAAATTTCACTGAACAATTTTGAATCCATTTCCATTCTACACGGTCAAAGGCTTTCTCTTGATCCAAAAAGATTATTCCACCCTCAATATTTTCTAGATCTGCATACTCTGCTATATCTTGAATTAAGCGTATGTTTTCTTCAATATTCCTGCCTTTCACAAAACCTTTTTGGTCAGGATGTATGATACCTGGTAGAACAGTTTTTAGTCTTTCAGCTAATATTTTTGTAATTATTTTATAGTCATTATCTAGCAATGTGATTGGCCGCCAATTTTTTATTTCTTCACGTTCACCTTGTTTATATAGCAAGGTAATTACTCCTTTATTCTGACTCTCTGTCAATTTACTTGTTTGAAAAACATCTGTAATTAGATCTGTGAGCTCGTCCTTTATTAGATACCAATACTTTTTGTAAAATTCTGAAATTATGCCATCTGAACCTCGTGACTTATTACATTTAAGATTATCAATAGCTGTTTTTATCTCTTTCCTGGTCGGAAGGGCTTCTCCATTCTTTTTCTCAACATCACTTAACTTTTTATCAACATTTATTAATAATTCATTTGCCTCTATTTCATTAACCCCCTCTGTTGTAAATAGTTTCTTATAAAAAAGAACTTGTTCCTTTAGTATGTTTTCTATATTTTGTTTATAAGTGCCATCTTTGACTTTAATAGATGTCCATCTTTTATTTGACCCTCTGTTTTTTTCCAATCCAAAAAAGTAATTGGTTGATGTTTCCCCTTCTTCATACCATTTAACCCTTGATCTAATTCTTGCGGCTGTTGCCTTCTGTTGGTAGTAAGTTTTAATTTTTTGTTGTATATTATCATGATGTACTTGGTTATTAAAAGTTTTTGTTTGCAATTCTTTTTCTAATTTACGTATTTGATTTTCTTTGATGTTTAATATTTTACTTGTAGACAAACATATATCTTTTATTTTAATTTAATTTAATTTAATTTAATTAGTCCCACCATTCTTTAATGGAGCTGAAATCATTTTTTTTCCTTCCAACTATTCCAAAAATATGTAAAGGTATTTTTAAACTGGATGCTCTTTATTACCCTTTTGCTCATTTTCCAATATCCTGGACCCTTAATACTGTCAGTAAGTTTAATATTTAGGCATGGAACACCAAAGTGATCTGATTTTGTAAACGGACAAAATTCTATAGCTGCATTGGATACTTTTTCATCAAAATCTTTAGATATATAAAAACCTATCAATTCTAGACCTGGTATGACCTCTCCTGAAAGTAAATGCCATCTTACTTGGGTTCCTTCTCCTCCATACATCTTCAATTTCTATTTTATGTAACATATCTTCTAGTTCCTCTTTCCCTACATCGTTTTGATCTCTAGTACTATTTCTATCTAAAGTCTTATTAATTACACAGTTAAAATCTCCCCCAATAATTAGTTTATTTCTTTTATATTTCTCTTTGGATAGTTCCTGCTTTACACGACAATAAAAGAGCTTCCTTTCCTTGGCATCATTTGGTGCATACACGTTAAAAAAAGTAATTACATCCTCCTCTAGATTAACGGTGAGGATAATATAACGCTCATCATTATCCCTTATTACTTCTGTAGGCTTTATTTGTAAGCCTTTCCTAAGTAAAATGGCAACACCTTTAGATGCTGATGTACCGTTTGACCAATAACTTTCACTATTCCATTCACCTTTCCATTTAAACAAGGAATTGCTATCACCACAGTGGGTTTCTTGACAGAAAACAATGTCAGCTTTTACCTTGCGAAACCAGTAAAAAAGATTAGATCTTTTTTCCTTGGCATTGAATCCATTCACATTAATTGTTAATAATTTCAAATTTGCTACCGTATCTTGGAACAAAATATAAAAAAGGCCTCGTCACAACTTGACTAAAGAAAAAGTCATGGAACATTTTTTGACTTTTAGGAACTGATATCATGGTTTTCACAAAGAATAAAAAAGATACCAAATGGTACATAAAGAAGCGCCAATATCATTTAACAAGGGAGCAATGTACAAATATCAGTATTTCCTTAGAGTTAAGTTTACAAACGACAAGAAAATATGCATTATCATGGAGTAAAACCAACATTTTTTTGTTTTTGTTTTTGTTTTTGTCTTTTTGTTTTTTTAACTTGTTTGTTCTGTTCGTGGACACTTACTCTCAGTGTTGAAACTCGCATCAGATGTTTCACTTCGTGAGCGTTTCTTGGATTTCACAGTCACTGTTTTGGCTTTGTTGGTGTCATATATGGAGTCCAGGAAACCTGCAAACAGTGCCTGGGCACCTTTGCTGTTGACATGTAAACCGTCCTTAGGATCAAACAGGCTGCCAGTAGGTTTATCTCCTTCCAAAAACAGTCTGTCATTGTCTATATATTGCATATCCTGACGCTCAAATGTATTTTCTACTCAATATGAGCAATTGCAATGACCAATCCATTCATAGGGTGAATTTCTTAGCAGCAGCCAACCTGAGGATACTCTAATCAAACTTAATGATCTCATTTATAGAGGATATAATAGTTTTCAACTTTTTTCCCTATCAATTTCATTCCAAAAAAGACATGGATTAGTGATGAGAAGCAAAATCTTGTACACCATTTTCCAAAATTGTCATAGATGACTTTGCTTTTAGACTAAAACTATCACCAAACTAAACTAAGTAGTATACTTCATGTATTTATTTCCAGGCGAAAAGTTACAACAAGTTGTCAAAGGTTTTCTGGAGAGGGGTGGAATACCTGATTGTGTGGGAGCCATTGATAACTGTCACATTTGCATTGAAAAAACAGTACTTCATGCAAATAGCTATCTGGATAGGAATTAACGCTATTCCATCATTCTGCAGGTGAGACTGAAAGAATTCTTCATTCTTCAAATTGGATTGTGATAAATATGTAATACAACAGTTTTACTTCAGCATTAACAAAGACTTCATAACATACATCCTGTCGTAATATTTCACACTCAAACCTGGGTTTACATTACAACTATCTGCAATCATCATCAAGCTGTTTGTGATCATAACATGACCTTCACCGATGTGTTGGTTGGATGGCTTGGTGGCGTGCAAGATACAAGAGTATTTAATAACAGCAATATTGGTAGATAATTGAATGAACTCGCACCAAATGGCACTTACATATTAGGGTATGGTGCCTATCCACGTACCTGGTAAGTGTACACATACTTGTTTGTTGGGTTAACATTTTGCATTATGTTATTTCACTGCAAAATTACACAAAAAAATGTTGAAAACTACTTTAGTAAATGGAAAAAGTAGCACATTGGCCCTGCATGGAATTTTACAATATACCAAATTTGCCTGACTTTGTCCCCCAGCACTGCAAATAGCTTTCTGAATATGTTGAAATCTAACTTGCAAAATTACTACACATGCATGCTAGTACACATTTGTTTGAAAAAAAATAGAATGCATCACATTTCATTTTTAAGTGACTTTTATTAAACAAACACGATTTTTAAATACCAGATATTCGTAATTAGAGACTCATGTGCTTTATGCTCATCCGACAAAAAAAGGAAATATGAGGAGTTCTTCATTTCAACATGAAATGAGCTTAGTAGCCTTCATTCTTCCTGCATCAATTTCAGAACGTTATTGTACAGAAGATTTTGACCTCTAATAGTGATACCTTGAAAGTAGCAAGTTTGACGAAAAGATGCTTAATCGTTTCCATTACATTCACAAGATGTGTGACGCAATGACAGATGCAAGGATAGACATAACCACACCGGCTTTACCAACATACAACATATATTCCCTCCGTGATGTGTGGCGGATAAATATATTAAAAACAGGTCAAGGTAAATCGTTTGATTAAACTTTGAATTGGAAGCCCATCCTCCTATCATGTTACAGGCCAAATAGCAATACCATTTGCCTTCTGGTTACCATTATTGAAATGATTTTTGGATGTAAAGTTGTGAAAGGCTAACGGATGACAACAGACGAAGCTTACTGGCAATAAGTAATCTTGATGATCAATGGATGCAGGTCAATTCTGTGTCTTAATCTACATTTCAATAGGAGACAGTTTGTTGATGGTTGACTAACACATTCAAGAAATCTACCATAGATTAAGCGTTACTTTCCTTTCATCTTTCACAGTCTTCTGTTTACTACTTACAACAGCTTTCTAATCAAACTTGACTTGAAAACGCTTGCTTCTGTGGCAGGTGGAGATGGAAATTGTTCCTGACAAAACATTATATACATGTGTTTCATGCTGATGATAAAGCGGACGACATTTAGAAAGATTTACTGAAAAATCGCTAAATCAAATATTAACTGAAAATGAGATTTCAAATGTTTAACTGAAAAATGAGTTAAGATGATACATTCTGTAATTTCGCATTACAAGTTCTTTTAACATTGAAAATTTAACAGATGAATTGAAAACTTTTAAGGTAAAATGAGCTGTAAACTGTAAGGACTAAAGGACTAAAGGGAAAAAATACATGTTCTAATTAATTGGTTAACCTGAAGAAAAGTTTCTCCTTACAGTTCATTACTGACATCATATAGGGATACTGGATCACTGACCAGTTGCCAGGAAAAATACAACTATAAACATGCTGCAACCCCAAATACAAATGAATGCAGCTTTGTCTTTCTAAAGGGAAGATGGAGGAAACTACACTACATGAACCTTCTTTCAATCACAGATATTTGTGAAATTATATTTGCATGTTGTGTCTTTCATAACTTTGTTATGGTCAGGATGCCGATGAAACAAACCAAGGGTGTACCGTGATTAATGCAGTTCCCTTAGATGTTGGCCATTGCTATACAAATATCGGATGTGGTGAAATGGGGAGACAAAAAAGGGATGATGTTGCAGCATCATTGGCATGAAGAAGAGAATTTGCTAAAATATAACAATTGCAATCTTAATATATATTTTTGAAATTGAAAAGTATGAACAAACTTATTTGAACACTATCCAATTACAATAGTAACATGAAAAATCGAAAATTATCAGGGTTATATTAGAGCTGTTGTTGTTGTTACAAACGATATTGATATATTGATGATTCCTATTTTAAGATACCAAATTTCTGAGTATTGATGCAAATACACCTGCTAGTTAACCTGTATTTCATGCAAAACTAAAATCATAAGTACTGAATGTAATATCTTCCCAAAATGCCTTGTACACAGTACAGTGTAGAAAAGAAATAGAAAAATGGTATTTACCAAGTCTTTATGAAATATTAATATATATAACTAGAACACTGACAGGTCAGAAAGGGCCACGCATGGTGGCTATCGATATCTCCCAAATCATAAATCTCCATTTTCATCAAAATGTGGAAAAAATCATTTTTTTACCCACATTAAGCAAAAGGGCACAACTTCATGTAACCCGTATGTACCAAATGTCATCAAATGAGACAATGATTGCATTTCGACTGAATTACTTTTGATAGTAACCTTGACCTTTGACATTTGAAGTTGAAAAACATTTCCAAGGATGCACTTCCGATGAAGAGCCCTTTCATAAAGTTTGATTTTGATTGGCCCAAGAGAACTCAAGTTATTATGCAGTGACAGATTTTCTATTTTTAGTAACAGTGATCTTGACCATGGACCTTTGAAGCTGGAAAAGATTTGAAAGCAAGCACTTCCTATAAGGACCCCATGTATGAAGTTTGAGTTTGATTGGCCTTTGGGAACTCAGTTTATTGCATCATGAAAACAAGAGATCCCAGAGGGATCTTGGCGCCCACCATCGGAAGTTCTTCGTCTGATCAATGGCAGACTGTTCTTTTCTCTACTTTTCTCTTCTTCTTTTTATCTCAATCATATGGGATTTGAACTACATCTCTCAAGAGCATTATCACAAGATATGCAAAGCCTTCTTGTATATTGCTATAATTCAAGTTGTTAGGCATTTGAGGAAACAATGTTATCTTTCAAACGAGTTATACCGCTTAATTCCTTGCTAATCGTAATTAGTATTCTCCATTCAGATCTCTGAATGTTTTTTATGGATATTTTTTACAACGGGACCTTACGATGAAATTTCAGAAGAAACAGTACAGTACTTTTTTCAGAAATATGGCCGTAACAAACTTTTACTTTCAAAACCCAAGATTGCCGCTTGTCAGCCATCTTGATTTCTAATCGGTCCAAAAAAGAGACAATGCACAACTAGGGACCTAGGGGAACCTGCATATGAAATTTGAGAAAGATCCACCTCAATTCTTTCTTTTCTCTCCTCTCTCATCTCTTAAATGACATCTTGCATGCTTTCTCTCCTTCTTTTCTTTCCCACATTTTCTCCTTTCTCACCTGCATCGCTTCCATTCTCAATCACTCTCACCGAATTTACAGTTGGGTTACCTCCCACACAATCATCCATCTCTTTTTCATACACAAAGTCCTTTCGCCTGTTCCAAGATTTGTTGTTCCACCACTGGCCCCCATCTCTGCTGCTATATCCTTCCAAATGCTCATTTTGGTGAAGCCCCACTAGCAATTTTATGCTGGTTTTTTTTCCTGATATCAATTAATAAACGAATGTTTTGGTCAGGAAATTTTGTTTCCATAAATGACATGAAGTTTTACCATGCCTATAAGTATTGTTGTAAATCATGTCTTCATGTTGGCATATTACATTTTACACATGAATCAAGCAAAGTAATCATAGTGGGTGACATCGATGAAGTAGAAGAAGCCTATTTTCCTCAGCACCTGGTCTTCTTCTAAGTACTTGTTATATAGTATTTATGGCACACATAAATTGACACCAATTACCTTAAACATTGTAAAGAGTTCATGTAAAGCCTCATAGTTAATGCTGAACACATATCGTATTCGATGTTATAAGTACACAGCATGCTTAGAAAAGTGAAAACAATAGGCCCAATGGTCCTACACAGTCAGCAAGAAACAGAAGAGTTGAAGATTTCGAACTCATTTCATCTTTATTTAGGATCAAAATAATTTGCTTGGTAGACGTCCAGTTACCATATAATTACCAATAAACCTAATATGAAGTTCGGATTTTGTTTGTTTGTTTATTGTAATGATATTAGTAAGAAGTTTCTTCATAGTTTTATACACATTGACCCCTGTGACCTTGAGAGTGGGTCAAGGAATTCATTTCAAAAACTTTAAAGCCTTTTATCCCAGCATGATACAGGCCTAGTATGAGCATTCTTAAATGTTTTATAGACATTTGACCCATGTGACCTTGCAAATGGGTCAAGGTAATTCATTTCAATTTACTCTGTAAACCGTCATCAAGCAAGCTACAGACCAAATATCGGTACCCTGGGCCTTCTGGTTAGTCAGAAGAAGTTTGTTAAAGATTTTATGACTTTTGACCTCTGTGACCTTGAATGTAGGTCAATGTCATTCATTTTAACACACTTGGTAGCTCTTTATCCAAGCATACTACAGGCCAAATATGAGTAACATATGCCTTACGGTTATTTAGTCGTTTGAATCAAAAGTTTTTTGCAAGGCAGACGGCGGACAGGGGGCGACGACGGACGAACCATGATGACCATGTGATTTCAGGTGGAAGTAGTTGATGCACAATTGCACATAAAGCAGCCACACACACACACATATATATATATGCCAAGTATAAAGTTTCAGTATGAGAAAGTGTAGGGGACTAAATAATTCTAACAAGCTATTAAACAATTATGGGGATGTATCCAGAATTATGTCCCTGGTCAGGGTTATTTCCCTAGATTATATCCCTTCACAGAGAGGGCCATAAACGTTTTATTATACCGAAACAAGCAACATTTCCATTAGTTTCAATAAAAACAACAATTCAAACAGTGAAAAAAGTTAAGGAGCATTACTATTATGCGTCGAGCAGACGACTTCCGGTCGCAATCAACTACGGCATTCTGGGAGCCCTCGAAGGGTTATTCCCCCGGGGTTATTTCCCTCGGGGTTATTTCCCTCAGGTTATTGCTCGCTGCCATGGTTACAATGTTATGCCTGGGGTTATTTAATCGATTTATAACATGTCAGGTGACCACTTTTCCTCCAATGAAAGTGAGGTAAAATAATACATATTACATGCAGCTCAGTCAAGGTCACAGTAACCTACTTTTGGTATGTGACTACCATCACACCAAGTTGTTTTCAGAGTGTCAAGAAGTTCCAGTATGAAACAGTTTGTAGGTTAAAGCGAGGATAACAAGTAACAGAAGGATGGAAGGACAGACAAACAGATGGAATCAACAGAACCATTAAACTATCTGTCCCAGTGTAGGACTAGTTGTCATCAATATAAATGTTGGACGCAAAATGTGATGTACTGATATAATATAGAAACATTTGAGTTTTTGAGAGCATATGCTTTATCAGATTCGGGAAACCCTTGGTTTTTTGAGACAATCTTGGTCATGTGCGATTCTCCCACTTTATAGTGATAAAATTTTATCTTTATAATGCAGAAGTAACACAAGTGTTTCCCCAACCAGATAAACAGGTAAAATTTAGGGGCAACATTTTTCTGGCCCAGCATAAACCCTGTGTTGTCACTATCTAACTGATGTGTATATTTATTTATAATAGTAAGGAAAGCACTTCTATAGGCTATACATGTTTCCAAATTACATTTGTCTATAAAATTATGCCAATGGAATATGAAATGAAAACTCAATTATTCACTTTACAAGATGATTTGCTTCCGTATTGCGATTTTCCCCCTGTATTTCTATATTTTGTTATTTTTGCTTTAGTGTAGTATTAATGACCGAGTCCAAATTAAGGAAAGTTTTTATCAGGCCTTTCAACAAGCCTAATGTGGATCGGACGCAGCGTAGTGTTGCTACTGTTCTGACCGAAACATCAAAATCTTGTGGTGGTTTAAACGCGGAGCTAAAACCTCAAGTCAATTTCAGTATTTCAAACAACAATTACCATCCGTTTTGAATACGTACAACCAAGTTACTCTTTAACAAAGGAAAAGATCATTATTACTCTCTTAATCGGAAACTGTTGAAGGATGGAGTACACCCAATACCACTGCTAGCTTGTGTCTGGATGAGACGTTTACTTGTTCACATATACATAGACTGTTTCTGATAACATTTTTACGTATACGTACGAAACCAGAGGTGTTATATCAGTTGTTATGTGGGATGTTTCTCTCTACTTCCGGTGCATTACTTCTGAACCTCGTATAATACGTTTTCATTACCTAGATGAAAGATTCGAGTATTGCGAACGAACTGTAACAATATGGCAGAAATGAAGGAATCAAAGGCAGAATTGCATAACTTAAGACGAGAAGTTCAACGAATAGAATAAAGTATTCCACTCAGAATATACATCTTACTGTTGTTTCCCACTTTTCTTTTAATTCCAGATCTGAATCCCCCTTTGTAGCCATTACGTAATTCTGATCACTATCTGACACTTAACATTGAGTTGACCAGTTACTTAAACTTCATGATTTCAAATTCTCCTTGTCATCTTGGCATGTTTTGTGTTGAAATATCCACAATATTCTATTCATTTCGCATTTATTTAGTTGAAATTTACGCCGAAAATCCATAAATCACATTGTGACCGTTATAAAAACTGGATGATGACCAAACTTATATAAGTTCAAATCAAACTAAAACATTCAAGAAGGTGGTCGGGTGGCGCAGCGGTAACGCACCTGCCTTTCACGTCGCCACCTTCTATGGGGTTTGATTAACGGAACGCACGTGTCCGGAACAATAAAATGATAAGGTAATTAATATCAAAATCATAAATTAATGTTTTCAATGA